ATCCATTGCCTACACGACTGCAAACCGAACATCCACTCGGCAAATCTCCCATGCCACCTCACCCTACCCATGATATCCTTCACCCTAACCATCGCTTCCAAGACTGCAACCAAACATTGGCACAGCACATCCGCAGTCCTCCCCTGAGTACTTCTCACTCTTCTTCACCCTCTGGTGTTACTTGTAGCACCTGACGCGCGATATCCTCAAACCTAACCATCCATTGCCTACACGACTGCAAACCGAACATCCACTCGGCAAATCTCCCAATGCCACCTCACACTACCCATGATAACCTTCTCCCTAACCATCGCATCCAAGACTGCAACCAAACATTCGCACAGCACATCCCGCAGTCCTCCCCTGGGTACTTCTCACTCTTCTTCACCCTCTGGTCTACTTGTAGCACCTGACGTGCAATATTCTCCACCCAGAGATGCCAACACATATTTGAAGCAATCTGTAGTTTCTGGCCATCAAATTAGTAGTTCGAGGGTCACGTAGTGACCCGAGTTTGCTAGAGGGGGTCCGGCATGCCCCCCAGAATTTTTTTTTATTCTGAGATGCAATTTCCTGCATTCGGAGGGTCAAAAATGACAATAAATTGAAAAAAAAATTTTTTCGATCACAGTGAAATTCGTAGTTTGATACAAACTGGTGGTAGTGGTGCAAAAGGAATAGAAATTTATATAAAATACGGATAAATCGTAGTGGTTGGTATCTCTGCTCCACCCTAACAATCGCATCCAAGACTGCAATCAAACATTCACACAGCACATCCCGCAGTCCTCCCCTGGGTACTTGCAGGACCCCCTTCAGACACTGTGAGGTCCTAAGCTGCAGCTTGTTTAGCTTATGTCTAAATCCGTCCCTCACCACACGCTCCACACTCTCTCCTCTACTTGTATCTGCGCACACGCGATATCCTCCAAGCGTTCCACACTCTCTCCTCTACTTGTATCTGCGCACACGCGATATCCTCCACGCGTTCGGTTCCTCGTATCTATTATAGAGCGGTTCGAGTCGCTGCGTCTTCTTGTGCTTGCTCAGCTTCGTCGGGTCGGCCAGCTTGAAGAACGCGGGCGCGAATTCTACGAGCCACTTGGGGTCGATGGTGGTGACCTCTCTCATGTATTCCTTCGTGGTGAGGACCAGCTCGTGGTAGACGACCCTGAGGGATGCGGGGGAAGAAAACACGTGAGCGTTATAATTTATAAATATATATGTAATTAATTATATTTAAATAAAATAAAATGTAATTTAAAAAATGTAAAAATTAAATTTAAATATAATTAATTAATTAGGGCTATCGTTAGCGTAGTGACACCAGCTCATGGTAAACAACCCTGAAAGAGGAGAAGAATTGGTGGTGTTGATTGTTGGACAAATTATGAAGGAAGGCGTGTGCAGTGCGTTTTCTACGGGATTAAATCGGGAGCGAAAAACACGTTAATGAATGGAACGTTTGTTTAAAAAAAAAAACTCAAAAAAACGATGAAGCATGTACATTGTTTCCCCTGGATTAAATCACGAGTGAGGCAGAGGAAAGTAATAGATATTTCACATACCACTCTGGTTGTCTGTTGAAGAGAGCGCTGGAGGGGTGGATGTAGACGACTTGACTGTCCACCAGTGTACGGAAACCTTCCTGTGGATCCTTCTTCGCTGCGTTACGGAAGAAACCGCTGCAGATGCACTTCTGAACGCGCACGGTCTGTTTCCCACACGCCACCACGTCATAAGAAAATAAGCTGTTGATTTTTCTCCTAACTCATACCACTGTGCTCTAGATCTAACAGCTATGCCTTCAGTTTTTTTATCTCTCAATTTTTCCAACTCATTGTTCAGTTTTTCTAATCTTTCAATGTTGTCGATATAGCTATTAGGGTTATGTTTTATAGCTTTTTCTATTTCTGATATTTCTTTCTCCAGCTGCTTTTCTTCTTTAATATTTTCCCTTTTAACCCTAGCCGAATACGGTATAGTGAGGCCTCTTACTTCCAACAATAAGGTTTCCCAAAATAGCTGGTCATTTATAGTCAATTGAATTTTGGAGTTTGGACATGAAGATACAAATTCGGGGTTATAGGGCGTGTCTGCATAAAACTGTTTCATATCCTGAATTTTTTTTTTAACCATTCCTATATATGTTGTATCCTTCAATAAAGTATTATTAAGTTTCCAATATCCTCGACCTCTCGTATGATTTGATACTGATATTTCTATTCTAACACTGGCATGATCTGACTTGTATTTTGGTTGTATTTCCGAAGAAGTTATCACTGCCATAATGTCCTCAGTACATAGAAAATAATCTAGCCTAGCCATTTGTACCTTTGGTTTCCTCCTGGCCCATGTGTATTGTTTTTCGTCCTCGTGAAATGCTTTCCATACATCTACCAATTCTTTTTGGTTTATTAATGATAGAACTGTATCTCTAGCCTTTGGGTTATTAATATGTTTGTAATTATGGTAATCTGAATTAGGGTTCAATACTAGATTCCAATCTCCACATATCATTACACTTTCATTTCCAATATCTTCTATTAATTTTTGAATATTTGTATAAAAGTTAGGAGCATCTTCGTTTGGTCCATACAAGTTGACTAGTGTAAAATGAATATTTTCTCCTACTGTAATATCCAAGACTAAGAGTATATAATTGCCGTCTGGGTCGCTTTTAGTTTCGTATATTGTATATTCAAGTTATTGTTAAAAAGTATTGCCACTCCTCTTGCGCGTGATGTAAAAGGGCAAAATATTGCCTCAACGCCCCAATCTAGTTTTGCTCGATCTATCAGTTTATCGTCAATATGTGTATCCTGTAGACATGCTATATTTACTTTTTTCTCTTTAAATCTTCCAAAAATATCTCTACGCTTGTTACAATCACCTAACCCCCTACAATTCATAGTTTCTATATATATATTTTCTCCATTTTAATAGTGTGCATTTAGCGAGAAATAAACAGATCTGGAAATAACATAATTTTTTGGCAAATTTAAAAACAACATAAGACACACAGACAACACATGGATAAAGACAGACATGAACATCTGACACAACCTCTGATACATGACCCCTTTGTGGATATACCACAGTCTTGCTCAGAAGAACAATGTTCACGTTACAAACAACATATAGAAATAAACTACCTGGTTTGGTAGCCATTGAGGCTTAGCCTGGTATTAGTGTGGGGGGTGGCTCCTTACTTAGTCTATCGTACACAAATTATATGTTATATATACATATATAAAACTCCGCCATCTACCGAGGAAACCAACATGTAAGGATATTATCGACCGCGCCTACACACACGCACGCACTCTCAGGATAGCTGCGGCTTTATGATGATCGATGTTATCTACCATCCTTACACACAGACATACACGCACGCATGTATGCACGCACGTACGCACGCACGCACGCTTGCACGCACGCACGCACGCACGCACGCACGCTTGCACGCACGCACGCACGCACGCACGCACGCACGCACACACGCATGCACACCCACACCCACACACCTACAAACACACCTCATCTCCAACACCTGCACACACACATGCTCGCACGCACGTCCCCCACACCAACACACAGGGCTACAATCACACTCACGCGGCGTCCCAGGCGCGTCAGCAGCCCCTCGTTATCCAACGCGCTGAGCGAATGCAGTTGCTCCAGCGAACAAATCAACGTCTCCATCGGCGGCGCGTCCATGAAGTCAAAGTTCAGCAGGTCGTTGATTCCCATCGCCTTCAGCTGCAGCACCGTTCCCGCGAGGTTCGTACGCTGAATCTCCGGTATCGGCGTAGCAAGCATCTCATCCCGGTACGCCCGCTCCGTGTATAGACGGTAGCATTTACCCGGTCCCGTGCGGCCGGCGCGTCCCGATCGTTGCTTAGCTTGCGCCTGTAGGTCGAGGTAATAATAATATAATTTTCGGGTGCCGTACTGGGCTACTGGCATAGTGGGCTACTGAAGAGATTCACAGTTTTCACTGGTGGGTTTTCTTTTTGCTGAGTACTAAGCAGTGTTTACCATTTTTCAAGTCTTTGGTATGACCCGGCCGGGAGTCAAACCCACGAGCTTCCACATGCGAGGCGAGCACTCTACCAATTGGGCCGTCGCTGCGGTATACGTAGGTGCAGGTGACGTCGCTTGTAATTAGCCCATATTTATTCATTTAATTAGTTCACAGTAGTAGACATTTCTCAATGAGCCGTCGCGGTATGCGCGCCGGGCCCAGGCTGCGTTCTGCCTAACTTGTAAAAGTTACAAGCCGCGTAATATATCCAAGTAACTATCAACTAACTATCTTGACCGTTATAGCATTGACTGTCCTTTATAGACACGTGTGCATTCCATAAAGGTTTCTGCATTTGATAGAATACCTGTGAGTGAGATTGCACATTACCTGCGAGATAGGTGTGACAACGAGAGCGTCCATGCCTGTCTTGGAGTTGTAGACCTTCTGTTTAACGAATCCCGGATCGACGACGTAGTAGACTCCGTCGATCGTCAGCGACGTTTCTGCGATGTTAGTCGCTATGACAACCTGCAGCGCAAGATCAAAAATGTTATAGTCAGTAAATCGGTGCTAAGTTTACCATCAATGGCCAACAAGGCAGAAATTGGCATTGTATCTTAATTTGTAACCTATGTGAGCTCACTTTAAAATGATAGTTAACTCTAAAAATAGTTTACATTTCCAGTTTACTAAAAATCGTTTGTTGGATTATTTACTCTTACTTGATTATTAAAATTATTTACTTAAATCATGGAGCAATATAGGTAGCTGGAGTGCCATGATGAATGTTGAAGATTGGATTTATAAACCTATCAATCATATCCAATTCTCATCCCACACATACACTCATCTACACATTCATCCACACGCCCGCTCCCCCTGCCTGCCTGTCCGTCCATCCATCCACCCGCCTGCCCCTCTGCCTGCATGTCCGTCCATCCATCCATCCACCCCCCCCCTACCTACCTGCAGCAAGCCACACACTAAATGCCTGCCTCCACACACGCAGCGCGGCACGGAACGCCACGGAAACGGCGCCGTTCACCCCTTCCGGCAAAGTTCAAATCTATTATATCTTATGGTGCAGTCTCCACTGACACGGCATGACGCCAGCTGGCTTTCACGGCGACGGCGAAAGTCAAATGAGTTTGACTTTTGCCGGCTGCCGTGTACGGAGAAAGACAGTTGAACCAATCAACGCGATTGTGTTTTATCCTGTGTTCTGCTCACGCCACCATCAGCCAATGGACAACAAGCACATGCATAATTTCTGATCACTGAACCAGAGTGAACACAATGCGCTCAGATACAATGCGCGAAATCACAATGTGTTTTTTTTCCAGCACAACGGCGCTGCGTTTTTCTGTGTCATGTCGTGCCGCGTGTTTGGAGACATAGCTTAAGACGAACACTGTTCCCACACGATCACCCCGATCCTACCTTTCTTCAGCTACACACTAACACAGCCACCCACGATCCCCCGATCCTACATTTCCCACACTCCTGCATGCGCGACCCCCTCTCTCCTACCTTCCGTGAGCCGGGGGGCGCGGGGTCGAATATCCGTGTCTGCATCTCGCTGGGCAGAGCGCTGTACACAGGTAGGATGATCAGATCGGGAACCTCCGGTCCCAGCGACTTCATGCGCTCGTAGAGAATCTCGCACGCCGTGTCAATCTCCTCCTGTCCCGTGAGGAAGATGAGCACATCTCCTGCAACGCGCGAACAGAGGGGCGTTAGTTACACGTGGCGCCATCTACGGGTACGTAAGGGATTTTTTTTAAGGTGGTGCCATCTACGGGTACGTAAGGGATTTTTTTTCAAGGTGTTTTTTAATCTATGGAAGTAAGTAATTGGAGTAAATTATACCTAAACTCTTCTGCTGATATGCCGCATGGCGCCATCTACAGTTACATAACGTAATTTACGCGGCTCACAGTAATGTATTCGCTCCTGCACTCACCGGGCGGCTCGGCGAGGTATATCTACAATGACGTGTGGCGCCATCTACAGCCACATAAAGCAATCTACGCGGCTCACACTGAATCGCACCGCCACTGTCTGTGTTGCGCAGTAATTAATTCGCTCTGCCCCTCACCTGGCGGTTCGGTTAGGTGTATTTGCATGACAGTGATGAGGGAGGCGTCGAGGTAGTCGGTCTCCGCCTCCTTCGTGTAGAGGATCTCGACGGGGTAGGTGCGGCCGGGAATCGTGAAGATCGGCGACTGGAAGAAGACTTGTGCCTGCATGTACACACACACATTATGTATATATATATATATATATATATATATAAATGAGTTGTATATGATAAGCTATTATATACAGATCAGTGATAGTAATATTATTTTGGGAGTGGTTGCAAGATGGCAGCCAGTGACGCGGTGGCGTTACTTTCTTACCGACCGTGGATTGGCTAACGGCTGTCCAGTTAGTATATAGATATCAGTGGTTGTTCCATCGTTTACAAGCGCACGAGGGAGGGCTCCTTAACATTCCTTTGTGTAATCTGACGAGACAAAGATATTTTTTTCATGTTTGTAAATCGTACAGGAGATGTTGTGTCGATGATATATAGGTTTTAACACGGAAATATATTGCTCGAAATGAAGTTGTGTAATTGTTTTTATGCGATTGGTTGAACTAACAACCAATGCGTAATAAAAATGTACCATTATATTGAGATGATATTATACGAGGAGGCAATCGTACCAGTATATTCATATCGTTTCAATTTATATCGCGGAACATTCACATTATTTCACATGTATACCTGCTGCAAGGCAATCTATTTATTAAAATCGCTTTCTTTAAAATATGGCACACCTTAAGATTAATCATACACAATGGAATACATCAGGAGCTACACGTGTTAATTTTTTTTTAAAGATTTCAATAAGATAGATAATTTGCTAACGCTACTATGCTACATATAATACAGTTGCTGACAGTGCATCCAAGCATCTGCCACATGTTGCTTCTCTTGTTCCCAACAGCAACCTTGGTCACAAAGACACATACCCTCTGCCACACACCCACACACTTGGTTGCAAGTGATGGCAAAACGTCAGGAAGACAATTTTTATAGTTTTTATAGCCTCCCAACAACTATCCATATGCACTGTCTAACACTTGAGTACAAAGCCTGCAGTCAACAGTCACTCACACACACAGGAACACTGTTGCAACTGGCATGAAAAGGAAGAAGATAACTTCCAACGTATACATAAACCTCGGACAACAATGCTCTCCACTCTCCCATCACCTACATGACTGCAACCACATATCCTGCCCCTGCTGCTGCTTCACCCTCTCGTCTACTTGTTTCTCCCCTGACCCTCGATATCGACCAACCTAACCATCGCCTACACGACTGCAACCACATATCTTGCCCCTGCTGCTGCTGCTGCTGCTTCACCCTCTCGTCAACTTGTTTCTCCCCTGACCCTCGATATCGACCAACCTAACCATCGCCTACACGACTGCAACCACAGATCCACTCCAACATCCAACCACAGATCGACTTGGCACATCACTCAGCCCTCCTGCACCCACTACTCATTCTTCTTCACGCTCTAGTGTTACTTGTAGCACCTGACACGCGATATCCTCAAACATAACCATCCATTGCCTACACGACTGCAAACCGAACATCCACTCGGCAAATCTCCCAATGCCACCTCACATTACCCATGATATCCTTCACCCTAACCATCGCTTCCAAGACTGCAACCAAACATTCGCACAGCACATCTCGCAGTCCTCCCCTGGGTACTTCTCACTCTTCTTCACCCTCTGGTCTACTTGTAGCACCTGACGCGCGATATCCTCCACCCAGAGATGCCAACACATATTTGAAGCAATCTGTAGTTTCTGGCCATCAAATTAGTAGTTCGAGGGTCACGTAGTGACCCGAGTTTGCTAGAGGGGGTCCGGCATGCCCCCCAGAATTTTTTTTTATTCTGAGATGCAATTTCCTGCCTTCTGAGGGTGAAAAATGACAATAAATTGACAAAAAAAATTTTTTTTTCGATCATAGTGAAATTCGTAGTTTCATACAAACTGGTCGTAGTGGTGCAAAAGGAATAGAAATTTGTATAAAATACGGATAAATCGTAGTGGTTGGCATCTCTGCTCCACCCTAACAATCGCATCCAAGACTGCAACCAAACATTCACACAGCACATCCCGCAGTCCTACTTCGCGTCGCTAGGCGATCGCGTCGCGTCGGGGATGGGGGAAGCCTTGTAACAGGGTCGTTACAGTACAAATGAGTAGCAACGGTGGTGTTATCCATTCCTTTGTGTCATTGAATATCGTAAGTTATAATTGAAATTACTCATATTATTACTACACAGAATATACTATATAATGCAACTGGTTAACCACTTTTTGTAAACACTGAGAACTACTATACATCAATATCGCGTATTGCCACTATTGCTATAAGTGTATAGTTATATTTGTGTTCTTCGTCATGGTTCGTCCAGGGGTAATTTAAACAGTACTACTCACACCTATAGTGTATTTAGCTTCAACATCGAGTTCGTCCTCAATCGACGCGCTTCACCCACGGATCAGGCCCTCTCTCGCGAACTCTTGCCTGTAGTCCCTGTTGTCGTAGTTCATATGCCTCGCTTGCTAGTTTTCCCCTGTACTGTTTTAACTGGGGAGGGAGGTCGGTTCGAACACTCATTGGGGTATCCTTCAAATATTTGGCCGCTCGCAAAAAAGCTTTGCGTTCTGCCCAATATACGATAACCACAATAATGGCGGTGGGTCTGTCATTTGGCCGTCGCAGTCGGTGCGCATTTCTAATGCACATTTCACGTGAAAGCTTGTCATCGAGTTTTAGTGAGTTACTTGCAAAGTCCTGCACCACTTCGATGGTTAACTCCGGCGCAGTTTCATATCCTTTAACACCATAAATAAGCAGATGGTATTTGCGACCATGTACTTGGCTAGTAAGTAGGGACCGTTTCAACTCCGCCATGTCGTTTTCTAATTTTGCAATGTCATCCCGATCCTTCGCCTGTCCGTCTTTCAATTCTCCTACTTCAAACTCTAAACTGTCGAACTTGTCAGTCAGTGTTTTGAACCCCTGCTCCATCCTCGAATCTATGCTTTTAAGCAGTTTATGCAGTTCAGCGTTGGTCACTTTTTCGGTCGCCATGACAGGTTTCGAGAGCTGTTTTTCTGACACGGGTGTAGATATTTTCTCCGTTGACAATTCGCAGGATTCTGAGCGCGTGAAATATTTTTTAATAGATGCTCTGTTTGCTCGACTATGTCTTACACTCATAGTATGCGCTTGTAAGTATAATTTTCAGTCACAAAGAGTTGAAGAACGTAGGAGCCACCTTACACACGTGTTGTTAGTTCGCCATCTTGCCCCGGGCAACGTTATTAATAATAACAACAACAAAAACAACAACAACAACAACAACAACAACAACAACTACAACAACAACAACAACAATAACAAGCAACGCAAGCTTCCCTCCACGCACCTGCTTCAGCTATATAATAATAATAATAATAATAATATCAACAATAACAAGGTCGCGTGTACATGTATTGTGTTGATATTGATGTTTTCAATTACACTTCATGCTAGTGTTGCCTTTATCGCAATGTGTGTTCATGTGTTTGGTTTGATGATGCAAGTCATGAGAGTTATAACACTTACGTGTAATAATAGAATAAATATTATCTTGTCCATACATTTATACATGTCATTCTACCTCATTCTCCAACGTCATCACTCATGATCATTGATTATCGTCACTTCCACCACCATCATCATCATCTTGAATATCACAATCACCGTTACGATTACCATCAGGCAACAGTATCATATCTGTCGATAGTAGGTACATACTGTGTCAGAATTACACAGCAGCCCGCGACACACGCCTCTGTGGGGTGATACTCCATTAGGAGCGTTCCCAACTTTAATGTCATTAATGGTCATAATAACATATACATGGTCATATATTAGTTTGTGGTTTAATGTCATTTAGGTTAGGGTTAGGGTTAGGGTTAGGGTTAGGGTTAGGATTAGGGTTAGGATTAGGGTTAGGATTATCAATCATTATTCATTAATCATTAATCATTAATGATATCAAAGTTGGGAACACTCCTAATACTAATGGAGCGTTAGCCTGTCTGTGGCTGTGCACATCGTGAGGCTGTGCACCTGCCTGCTGGCTGGAGCGGCATTAATTGTGTAAGTAAGGGGAGGGGGGCGAGTGCACTGATTGTTTCAGTCGCGTGGGGAATGTTGATCACTGTACATGTTCGTAAAAACAAGGAACCTCTGACTTCAACTTATGCGATGGAATTAACGCAGGTTTGAAACAATTGGGACTAGAATTTTTCTTCGAGATAGGCGAAATTCGACTTGTGAATTTCGACTTGGACGAAGATTTATTAAAGTAAAAACATAGGGAAAGATCGGGACTTTTGTGGAGCTTCGATTTGGCCGATTATTCGACTTGTGTGATGTCGACTTAGGTGAGGTCGACTGTATATATAGATATATATAGATATGTCTACTTCTATATCTACTACTATATAATATTGTAAGGGCTGCCATGCAGCAGAAAACACATACCCTCCGGCATCGGATCGATCCAGTTCTTGTTGATGCCCGTCGGTATGGAGTCCATCTCAGCCTCTCTCTGCGCTTGTTTCAGTTCTCGCCGCTCCTTCTGCAGCGCCCCCTGCATCATGGCCGCCTGCGCCAACGACCCGTCCGGATTCTGCAACGAACAGCATAGCTCTCGGTAAAAGCGAACGCACGCATGCAGACGAGGGCACGCACGCACGCACACACGCACATGCACACACACACTGGCAAACACGTGGACTACGTACACGTGGATGTGCATCAAGAGTAAGATCATGATACATAACTGTGTAATCTGTGCAATAACAATCACTGTAGACAAAATTCCTTATAATAATCTGTGTGATTGTATAGCTTGTAGTTTACCTCTGACACATTCACACACTCGCATATATATACACAAGCAAAAACGCACGCATGCATGCACTCATTCACACACACGCACGCACACATACACACACCAAGACACTAATACCTAATGTTATAACCTGTCTCATAACAATACAAACTGTACGGTTAGTACAACACATTTCTGACACTCGTGCGTAAAACGTGCGCAACAACTATCTCGCTTGACCGACCTAGAAACAACTTTCAAGGGCGCGGCGTGGCAGAGAGACATAGCGGGGTCGGTTGCAGGCATGCATTACTTATTATCACCATTTTACCTACAATAATACACTTTAGATGCACGCATGTGTAAAACGTGCGCAATAACGATCTCGCTCGACACGACCTAGAAACGACCTTCAAGGACACGATCATCTCTCTCACAGAGACAGAGGGTTGCAGGCATACCTTGACTACATTGACCTTTTGACCTACGATGATACACTTTACATGCACGCATATGTAAAACGTGCGCAATAACGATCTCGCTCGACCTTCAACCTTCGAGGACACGATCATCTCTCTCCTCAGGGAGACAGAGGTGAGGTACAGGTGAGACAGTGTAGACACACCTTGACGATCTTCACAGGACTCATGTCAGTGATGCTGCGTCCGTGACCCTTCAGGAACGGCGGTTCGTCTTCGACTAACTCCACCTCTAAGTCCTCGTCTGCAATAGACACGCGCGATTACGGCGTCGGTGAAACGACCGCCCTCGCACAAAGACTGTGTAAAGTCGAACCTGGGTACATAAGGGTCACTCGAGCGAACGACCGAAGTGCGTCCTTGGTAGACAGGTCGACTGTTCTATAGAGGTGAGAGCGCTATAGAAGATTTGACATGATAAATATTTATGAGATTTAAATAACAGATTATTAGAGATTTAAATCGAATGATAATCAATACAATCGACACGGCGCACACGACGTTTCTTTTCGTACCATTGAATGATTTTTCTGTTTATTTATTGGTTTGACCAGGCTTTATACCTGGTAATAAGAGTTTTGTTGATATATCCCCTGTCATTATAGCGCCTAATATTTATATTAATAATTTAAAAAATAAAAAATTTCCCAAAATTTTTTTTATATGAACTTGCTTACAACGTATCTTCATTTTACTCGTTTGATCGAGTGTTCGTAACCTGCATTGGAGGGGGAAGTAATGTGCACCACATACCTTCCTCGTCATCTTTTGGAATGATTCCAGTTTCTTCGTCGAAATCTGGGAGTTCCGACACATCTATGCAGTTGGCAGCAATCATCTAGAAAAAAAACAAGCGTGTTAGTAGTAGAACATTTATTTATATTATACAGGTTTTTGTTTGTGTTTGCTCCCCACCTGCCTCAGCTACCATCACTCACCCACATAACTATCCCATTTATCAATTTTTGTTATATATATTATTTACAATTACTGCTACTACTACTGCTACTACTACTACTAACTACTACTGCTGCTGCTGCTGCTACTGCTGCTGCTGCTGCTGCTGCTACTACTATTACTGCTGCTGCTACTACTACTGCTACTGCTGCTGCTGCTGCTGCTGCTGCTGCTGCTGCTGCTGCTGCTGCTGCTGCTGCTG